CCTGAGCGCCTACAGCTCCCGTACGCCCGGCGAGCTGGAGTACTACCGGCACTTCTGCGTCCCCGAGTTCAAAAACCTGCAGAAGGTGGGTCGCGGGGAGCGCGGCGTCGGCATTCATCCTCCGGCCCCGGTGACGCCGGTGTTCCCCAGCGTGGTAATTCCTGCCCAAAGCGTTAACGTCCAGCTCGTCTGTCCCCATCCAGGCTCCCATCCAGGTCCTGAAGGACAAGGAGTGCCCGGCCGTGATTATCCCCAGCACCCCGCGTAGGTCTGGAGGGCTAACGAGTTGTGATTACGAGAGCCGATTAACGAGCTCGCTTCTGTCGGGGGAAGTTTTGGGGGGGTCGGAGGCTCCCGTTTGGGGTTTCTGGGGATCCAGTGTAGGTTCGTGACTACGGGGAGGGGGTTTTGGCTCGTCTCCCCGGGGCGGTCGGATGAGAGTGGCTGAGTTTCCCCTCCTCTCGCCCAGTGGCACGGCGATGCTTCCCGGCCATCCGGGCCAAGAAGGGCGTCATCATGGTCGGCAACGAGACCACCTACAACGATGGCCACGGGCACTGGAGGAACGTCACCGAGCTGCTGGAAGGGGCCAAGTGAGTCCGCAGCCTTTGCTCCGGGCAGACGCCGTGGTTTGTCGGTCGTTTCGTCTTTGCCGGGGCGGGCACGAGAGTGGGTGCTGGTGGTGATAATGGCAACGTGGCGGGGATGCAACCGGGGGAGCCTCTTAATGAGCCGCTTCGTTATTGCCGCTTCATCCGGAAGAGAAACGTTGGGTTTTATCTGCCAGCACAAGGACAAGGGGCCGTTGAGGCAGCGGGCGCGGGCAGAGCCTCGCTGGGGCTGACGCTCCTCCGCTTCTTCCCCCCGGCTTCCGCTTCATTTGTGTTTTATTTTTGTGTTCCAGAAAAGCAAACGTGGTCCTGGAAACCAGACAACTGGCCATGAAGATCTTTGAAGATTACACGGTTTCCTGGTACTGGATAATAATGTGAGCAGGGGCCGAGCTACGTGTCATGGCTGGACGGGAGCCCACGAGGGCCGCTGCTGTGCTGCGCCGGCCACGGGCTTGGCACCGCGCTCAACATGGGGCAAACCTCATGAATTACCAACATTTTATTTTTTTTTTTTTTTCCCCTCGCCCCGGCCTTTGCATAATTTCCGTTCAAACAAAATGAGAGATGGCAGAGGGTGTTTCGGAGCAACTTTCCTCAGATCCTGCTCGTGCTCCATCCCCTCCTCCATCAATGATTCCCATTTTTGAGGCTGCCCTGTCATTAAAGCTTGGGAAATGAGAGAGGACAAGCTGACCGACGGAGGAAAGCGGTGGGGAGGGGGTGGCATCGCCTGCTTTTTGACGCGTTGCTGCCTTCCTCCCGCAGAGGCCTCGTGATCGCCATGGTGGCCAGCTTCATCTTCATCGTCCTGCTCCGATTCCTGGCCGGGATCATGGTCTGGGTGATGATCGTGATGGTCATCCTGGTGCTGGGCTATGGTGAGCGAGTGATCGGGAGCTTCTCCCTGCTTTCCCCGCTTTCCTTTCCCTATCTGAAGTGGGCTCTGCACGAAGAATGTTCATACGCAGTGTCCTTCCAGGTGTCTTCTACCCAAACATCGGCATCATCGGGGTTGAGCCGAGGCTGCGGGCGTCTCGGTCTCCGCTTTTCGGTGCAAATAGGACAATTTTCTGCTTTTCGCCGCAGGAATCTTCCACTGTTACATGGAATATGCAAAACTAAAAGGGGAAGCGGGTTCTGACATCTCCCTGACGGACCTGGGATTTCAGACCGACCTACGCGTCTACCTCCACCTGCGGCAGACATGGCTGGCATTCAGTAAGCCTCCATCCTCCTCTGGATGTGGGACGGGACACGGTGGATGCACCCCAGCTCCAGTCCCTTTGAGGGACAGGGCTTGGGAAGGGGAGAGCATGGAGGTTTGGGGTCTTCCCAGTCTCTTCATGGCCCTTTGCAAAGAGCTGGGTTAAGGCGGGTGGCTTTGCTTGATGCCACCTCTGCTGTGGGACTGAGCTTAGGGCCGGGATGACTGGCCACGGGTTGGGTGCTGCTTTTCCACGTGAACCGCAGTGCCGGACGTGCCCCGAGGAGCGTTCGGTGCCATGATGGATTTGCTTGGGAAGGCAATGGTGGCCATCGGGCGCCGTCCGTGCCCTCGCGCTACCCGGGGCTCCCCTTCTCCTCCCAGTGATCATCCTGTGCATCGTGGAGGTGGTGATCATACTGCTGCTCATCTTCCTCCGCAAGAGGATCCTCATTGCCATCGCGCTCATCAAGGAGGCCAGCAGGTCCGGGTGTCACCCGTCCCCAGGCAGAGGTGGCCCCTGTCACCCGTTGCAGCAGGAGGACTCGGAGATGGCCAGGCTCCAGCCACCGAGGTCCTCCCATGGCCGCAAGGATTTGAATTGGGTTTTAACCCTCTTGGCAGGGCTGTTGGTCACATCATGATGTCGCTGCTGTTCCCGTTGTGCACCTTCTTCCTGCTGTGTCTCTGCATCGCCTACTGGGCCAGCACCGCCGTGTATCCTTTCCTCTTCCCTGCAGCTCTGCTTCCCGGGAAGGAAGCTGCTCAGAAATCAAAGGTCTTCCAGGCCGCTGAACATCTTACAGGATTAGTGACACATCCGTTTGTGAAACCGCCAGCTTAAGTCTCCAAGTTTAACTTAAAATCAAACCTAACATACAAAAGCGATTGCAGGAGGCTGGTGAGAGCAAAACGGAGTTAGGATTTGGGTTTGGGGTTTGCAAAAGCACGTCTCCTTAACCGTTGTTCTGCAGTTTCCTCTCCACCTCCAACGAGGCGGTCTATAAGGTGTTTAACGAGACTGCGTGCCAGTTTTCCGGGCAGACCTGCAAACCAGAGGTGAGGACACGGGGAAACTCATATGAATGCTACGCTTGATCTGTCAGAGATAAGATTGTTTGTTAGATGAAAAATATTCTGGTGGCTATTTGAGCCTGCAAGCTCTTCCAAGTGAAATTCTGCCTTTCGGAACTCGTTTACGTCATGTTGTTATTTTTCTTCAAGCTGTGGCGTGCGCAAAGCTGACTTCTCGGTCTGAGCGAACGCTACAGAAAAATTAAGCAGGATAATGTCCTCTGAAAGTCGAGATTGCTTTAGGTTGAGTGAAAGATGCTGTCGGTCCGCCCTGTGGCACGTCTCCAGCCGCCGCAGTGCGTGAGCGTCCGCTGTCCTCTCTAGACCTTCAACACAAGCAACGTCACCAAGCTGTGCCCCGACGCCCAGTGCCTCTTCGCGTTCTACGGGGGCGAGACGGCGTACCACAAGTATCTCATCGTCCTCCAGTTCTTCAACGTCTTCATGTTTTTTTGGCTCGCCAACTTCGTGATCGCGCTGGGCCAGGTGACGCTGGCGGGGGCCTTCGCATCGTACTACTGGGCCTTCAAGAAACCCGATGACATGCCCGCCTTCCCTCTCTTCTCCGCCTTCGGCCGCGCGCTCCGGTATGTCCCTCTCGAGGAGGACTTGCGAGCTTCTTGGAGTTGTCCCCTTCTAACCAGAGCGATCTTTCCCAGGTACCACACCGGCTCGATAGCCTTCGGCTCTCTGATCCTGGCCATCGTCCAAGTCATCAGGGTCACTCTGGAGTATCTGGACCACAGGTTAAAAGGTACCGAAGCTGGAATGGCAAACGAGTAGACAAACGAGGTTGGCTGCTTCTGCGTTCCTTGGTGCCAGAGCTCATGGCTAATGTCCAGGGGAATAATTTCAGTATTTTGGTAGAGAATCAAGATTTTCCTTGTAGGATCCCATAGCCGTCTCTTTCTCCAAGAGACGTTTCACGGGGTGGAAGCTGAGGGATGCACCACGGCTGCCGGGCTAAGTCAGCTGGTCCTGGGTGTCTGTACGGCTGCCAGGGAAGTCTGCGTCCGGCCGTACGACTCTTATTGATCACGCAATGTAAACAGCGAGCAGAAGCGTGGGAAGAGCACGCGAGGCAGCTCATCCCGCCGTCTGCAGCCGTATCGGCCTCCCAGGGAGGCTGAAAACAGGGCGTGGGGGGGAGGCTGTGACGGGGCAGCAGGACGACTCATTAGGGACCTTGAAGTTGCTTCTGTAAGAAAAGGCGTCTCTCGGTTTGGCTGCTCACCCTCTCCCATGGCATTCGTCCAGCTGCAGATAATAAGTTTGCCAAGTTCCTCCTGAGCTGCCTGAAGTGCTGCTTCTGGTGCCTGGAAAAATTCATCAAATTCCTCAACAGAAACGCGTACATCATGGTAAGACTTCCGGCGTTAACGCGCAAAGGGTCGTGATGACGGTGCAGGAGTCGCCGCGCTCTTGGAGGTTTCTTTGAGAAGCTGTTGAGAACCGTGTCTCCCAATGTCATGGGAAAACGAAGCTTTTCAACGTTTCCCAGCCGTTTCGCTGGAAAGCCTTGACCTCATCAGCCATGTCACTTTGACTTTGGGAGGGACCTTCTCAGAGACGCCAGGGTCGGGGACATTCAGCTCTGGGTGTCCGCGACACCTGACCTGTCAGTGGATGAAGAAACACTTCCAGGGTGGGATTTATCCGAGTTTTACTCAAAGATGGGATTAATTGCACCCTCTTTGTAGCAGTGAATTCAGTGCAGCTCTGTTTCTCTCTCCTCTGCCCCTTTTTTCCGGGACCTGCTCTAGATCGCCGTCTACGGCACCAACTTCTGCACCTCTGCCAGGAACGCGTTCTGTCTGCTGATGAGGAACATCATTAGGTGAGGTCCCGGTGGGTGCGAGGGCTCTGCTCTCAACAGCAGGCTTGCTTATTCCCAAGTCCTTCTTGCTGCCAGAGATCAACCTTGATCTGCCTGCCTTGTTTTCAGGCTTTCGCGACATTTTGTGCCACGCTTGCAACGCGCGTGCGCGTTGGCCGCCTCCTCCCACGCTTCCTTCTGAATTTGGGGCGGGGAGCGGATGCGGATGCTCATCTCTCTCGTTTCCAGGGTGGCCGTTTTAGATAAAGTCACGGATTTCCTCTTCTTCCTCGGTAAACTCCTCATTGTGGGAAGCGTCGGTAAGTGCTAGGGACTGGAAGTTTCTCCTCGGGGCGTATGGCAGCTGTAGGCTTTTGTAGCTGGTTACACCTTCCCAAAACCTTGCCCCTCTTTTCACCCCTCCCATGAAACCATTCCTTTCTGTCCCATTTTACATCTTCCCTGCACCCATTTGCTGCCTTTCTTCTGCCCGGCATCCCACAGCAATTTCCACCGTTTGCTTTTCCAGGAATCCTTGCCTTCTTTTTCTTCACCCAGAGGATAAAGCTGGTCCAAGACACAGCGCCGCCCCTGAATTACTACTGGGTCCCTATTCTGGTGAGCCGCTTTCTTGTCTTTTGGTGAATTTAGAAGCGATGGAAAGAGATCTTTAACACAAATGCCTTAAAAGCACCCTTCCGCCCGCTGCTCCTGAAGGACCTTCTTTGTTGAAGGTGTTTTCTCCATCCCCGTCAAAATGAGCCCTTTGTATCGGCCAGCTGCGAAGAGGCGTCTCGCCCTTCCCGTGCTGCCCAGATTGGCCTCCGTCCACCGTCGTTGCCGAGGCCTTTTGTCCGGAATCAGGCTGGTTCAAACAGTCCTGCCCTGTTCGTTTCTCCTCCTTCCCCCGGGGAATTCGGGATTCAGCAGGTTTCCTCCTCCCGGCCGAGGAACCGGGGCTTTGCGCTCTTTGCAGATGCCAGGTCGCGGCGTGACGCACAATTTCTCTTTCAGACAGTGATCGTGGGCTCCTACCTCATCGCCCATGGGTTCTTCAGCGTGTACGGCATGTGTGTGGACACCCTCTTCCTCTGCTTCTGTAAGTATCTGCCTCAGAGGGTCCATCACCCGCTGGGCAGGAGTGTGTGGTAGCAAAACCTCCCTCCCTTTGGGGCTGATCCCCAGAGTTGTACAGATTTGGGGTTTGCTCCGAATTCCCGTGGCCTCTCTGTGGTTTTCTCCCACTTTTTCCTTTACCAACTCCTACCTGCGTTCTTACCAGCATCTGCTTTCCCCCTGCCTGCTAGCAACAGACACCCACAACTCTCCCTGGGTCTCCTGCAGTCTCTCTTGGTCTTTCTGTTTTGGTGCTTTGGTCTTGGTGGAACCTAACTGCAACTAACTTCAATTTTCCTTTTTCTTTTTTCTTCCTTTTTCCCCCCTCTCCCCCTCGTGTCTCTCTTCACATGTTCTCCATCCTTCATCTCTGCCCTGCCTCTCCCCGGCTCTTCCGCTATTTTTCACTCTTCCCCATCACGGCCGTTTTCTTCCTGGGGTTGCGAAAAGGTGAAGATCTGGAGAGGAACGATGGATCTCCCGAGAGGCCTTACTACATGTCTAAGGGGAACCTAGAGCCTTCCAAAAGCGCCGATAGCCAAGGCTAGGGGCTGGCCCCGGGAGGAAGGCTGCATGCCTGGGGGGTCTGCTGGACGCTCTCGGCCCCCCGACCCAAGCAGCGTTCTCCTAAGCCCGCGTGTGGCAGCCACGGTGCAAATCTTTCCCCTGGATGTCCTCCAAAGCCTTGAGGGTAGAGGGGGTGCCGATTCCGCAGTGCCCGATGCTGTATCACGTCCACCTTCCCGCCCAATAATCAATATTCTGGTATCGAGAGAACGAACCTAGAGTGTCACCTAGAGTTAATCTGGGGTCCCACGTATCCGGTAGCACCCGGCGAGGAGCGCTCCGCTCCGGCGAGCGGCCGGGAACTGGCTGGACATGGACGGGTGCCGATATATAGTTGCGTTTCGTGTTGTTGGAGATCTTTGTTCCTAACCACCAGCTGTGAAAAGGACGGGAGAGCCGCTCTGCTCGCGGGGAGGCATCTCGCGTTGCAGGACGGTGGTTTGTGGGACGGGCTGAGTGGGTTCGCCAGCCAGAAAACTGGTCTCTCCGCGCTTTCCTCTTTGTTCTGCCCCCAGCAAAGAGCAACGAGCCTCTTTCCTCGCCCACTCTTTCTATGCAAAACTGGGTTGGCGCACTTAAAAAGACTTCTTTGTGAGATTGCAGATCTTTTGCTTTTAAGTCTGTTGCATCAGCAGCGCTTCTGTCACAAAACAGAGCTCGCCCTTGTCGCAGCCGAAAACTCCCGTTTCCTTGCGCTGTCGGTTTAGGGAAGGCAATAAGAGCCGTTGCCGGTTGCAAGCTCTTAAAACTCCACAGGCTTTTACTGGTTTAAAATGGTTTCTCTTGCTGGTTGCACAGAGGTTTAATCGCTGCAGGGAGGTGGTGGCTCCTCCTGGGAGCTGCCTGATGGGATCTGCTCTTTTTTCCCCCGGAGGTGGTTGAGTCGATGGTTTGGCTTCTGCCTGGTCCGGGCGGAGGAGCCGGAGCTGTAATGACTTTCCACGCTAACGGAGGTGGAGGCGCTTGCCAGGGGAGTACAGCCCTGCAGGCTGGGGTGGTTGTGGAAGGAAGACGCAGCCTGCGTGGAAGGCGAGTCCCCAAGCCGGCTCCGGCCACCCCAGATAGCCGAGGGTCCGGCCAGGGAAGGCGATGCCCAGAGGAGCGCTGTGAGCATCCCTGACGGGCTGGAAGGCTACGGGGACGGAGTGCATTGTGCTGGCGGGTGTAATTTCTACAGCTAGAAAAATCAGACGAAAAAAAACCCGTAAGTGTGACTGGGAGGCAACTGGTGAGGTTTTACAGCCCCTAAAGAAATGGCGGCCAAAGACAGGCTGGATCCTCACCTTGTTTTCTCCGCTTTACAGTCCAGAAATGATCAATATTTTGAAAAATGCCACTCTGGCAGCACATAGGCCAGGTAGCAGATCTCCTATTACAAATCCTCGTGCAGACAGAGCACTCCGTTTTGAGTCGTGCCCTCTTAAGGACAAAGCCAGAGTGTTAACGCTCGTATTTTCACAACAGAGAAATATTGAAATCCCTCTCAAAATATCCCAGGGCGCTTTCACTCAACTCTGAAGCTGGTCCTTTGTGGGTTTGTTTGGTTTTGGATTTGTTTGGTTTGGTTTTTTTGGTGGCTGTGATTTTCCTACCGCTTCTCGTTGGCGCAGCTGCTTTGCTTTGAACAGCGAGAGGCCGGGCAGCGTGTTCGGCGCTGGGAATACACCTAACGATTATGTATGCATGGCATGTTGACAAGGGCGTTGCGCACCCGGCGAGCAGCGCCAAGCGAATACCGAGCGAAATTGCTTTGCGCTCTTGCGAAATTGCTTTGCGCTCGCGTCATGAGCCATTTCGGCTGCACAATGGGAGAGCCGCGCTGCCTTGGCTCCGTAGAGGAGGGGAACCACGCTCCCAGCCAGCAGAGCTCGAGGTCGCGGAGGAAACCCCTTTTCTTACGGCACTGTTAAACTTTCCCGCTGCCCTCCGCCCCTGCCGAGAAGAAACCAGAGGGCCTGGGTGGGTTTTTTTTTAAATAATAGCAGCCTGTTTCTGGAGCGTGGTGCTCCCCGAACAATGGGAGAGGTGCGGCTGCGGTGGTTTGCACGGCCGGGGACATTTGGCCACGACACGGGAAGAAAACACCCCCCGTCTGCAATGAGCCGAAACCCTTTTATTTCTATCAAAGATAATTATTAGCCGAGCAGGACGACTGCTCCTCTAGCAGCTCCGTGCCGTTAGGCTCCTTGCTGCATCTGCTGCCATGCCCGCCACACCAACCTCTGTGTCTGCCCCCCGCCGCTGCCGCGCGGGGCGGGGGGTTTCTCTTTGCAGTGGAAGACCTGGAGCGTAACGACGGTTCGGCCGAAAAGCCTTACTTTATGTCGCCCAACCTGAAAAAGCTCCTGAAGAAGACGAACAAAGGTCAGCCGGATGCCTAGAGCCTGTCCTCGTCCTTTCTGCGCCTCCTCTTCCCGTTCCCGCTTCGGGAGCAGAGCTGCAGGATAACGCCCGGCACTCGGCATCGTTAGGCCCAC